GGAACACTACATCAAAAACTAATGACGTAATATACGGTGATTAACATAACATAATAAAGTAAAAAATTAAAAAAAAAAAACTAGAGTTGACCACATGGGAGAGTTTGAAGAGAATTACAAGCACAAGATTTTATATTCTCTCTTCAAGACATGGCAGGAAACCAGGGAGTTCTTGTGACACCTAAGAATATTTTTATCTTCTGCACCTACAGCATTGACATTACAAAAATCAGACCCCAGCTAATCTTATGGATTGTTGAATTTCAACATAGAGTCAACATTAGGGTTTCTTATGTGAAGGTTGGGCCATTTAATGGAAGACTGGGTCTCCAAAATTAAAATGAAACTCTTGTGAAAAATTTCATTAACCTCAAGTGCCTGGAACCCCTACTCTTCCTGAGACTCCCTTGCCAGCAGAAATGTCCTCTCCTCCCTGTGAGTTGAGGCTTCTCTGGTCTTGCTTGAAGACCCTGTGTTCTCCCCTCCTGAGATGGCTACCTAGTAGGGGGAGGGGGGGTGGGTGCCAATTCTGTATTGAATAGCAGGGCCACCTTGGCTAATTTAACAAAAAGGGGCTTATTATAGAGTATTGACCTTATAGATTTGGGGTGAGGGCAGGGAATCAAGCTTGGATTCCATATCGTTAGGAGAAATGCCCACCTCCACCAGGGTGGTCCTGGTAGGAATCCCACTGCTGCCAACACCCCTGTCAAGGCCTTCTGATGCCAGGCAGGGGCCAGCAGGACGTCTGCCACAGGTCCCTCAGCACGCCAGGGCTTTCGCTCGAAGGGATGGTCTCCTGTCATGCAGCTGCCACCTCAGTTCCTGCCTCCACCTTCTTGGAGGAACTTAGGTCTCATGTGGGGCCCTAGCTGCAGGAAAGCCCGGAAAGGGCAACTTTTTGTAAGTACAGTCTTTATTGTAGAAGAAAGCCTGGTAGAACAAGGTCGGAGTGAATGTCAAGTGAATCAGTTGGCAGTCTCTGCCCAACCCATAAGCCCGCTGTCCTATGATGAACAAGCCAATCCCATTTTGGGGGAAAATCTGTCAAGCTTTTAAATCTCCCTTTATATGTTCTATGTAAAAAATAATGTAATGCCATATTTTTTACTTTATCACTTTTTCATTCCACGTTGTATTATAAACATCTCAGTAAACTATTTCTACAACATCAATTTTAAAGATTGCAGCGTAGTCTATCATATGCAACGTAGTCTATCCCCATAATTGAACATACTTTATTTCTAATTTTTCCCTTTTGGGAATAGTGTGAGCATGATTATCCTTGTAGTCAAATATTTGAACTCCTTTTAAATTATTTTTTCAGAATAAATTCTCAGATATGAAATATCTGGGTTGATTTATTGTCTTTGGTCTCAGTTCGTTTTCATCAATAGCTTCATCTATTCTCTGGAACTCCCAGACTAAGGATTATAGACCTTTATACCTTAAATAATTAATATTCTGGGTTTTTCTCTCCTGGATATGGCTTCTCGTTTTGATACATAGTTTGCCTGGTTTGGTGTTTCCATGTTGTTCACAGCTCTCCTGTAATTCATCTTAAGTCTTTTGTGGAATGAGGTGTGGGGGCATGCGTTTATGAATTTGTACATACATAGGTATGTCATGGGAATTTGGAGCTGGTTCCTGACTTCATTCTGGTCTTTTTGCCCCTTTCCTGTTCATGATTCCGTATTGATGGGTAATATGCCTGCTTACTATTTTATTTAATATACTCTTAAAAGTAATAAAATAAGCATAACTTTTAATGTGAATGTCTTATTTTGCCACTTAAGTTACAGATTTCAGATTAATTTTTCCTTCATTTTTGCCTTATTTTGATAGCAATGAGTGATCATTTGAATATATTAAATTCTTTTTATTAGGAATGACAGTGATGGGGAAGGAGAATCTGATGATCCTGAAAAAAAGAAACTACAGAATCAACTTCAAGGTTGCTTTAGATTTCATTTTTAAATTTACTATCTTATTTTTTTAAAAACCTCATAGTGAATTGTCTATTTGAATTATTTTTTCCCCTCTATTCAAATGAGGTTCAAGAACTGGCTTTGGTTCCCAGTGGTCACATGCTGACTTTGTCAATTTTCATAGGATTTGCTGTATAGGGTCTCTACTAAGTTGGTTTTTCCCATGTAGTAAAAACATTGTTTGGTTTTATATGTGCCTTAAAAAACCTGTCAGTCAACTTACTCTTTTTCATTTTGTCTTACTTGCCCCCTTTTAGAAAAGGTAGCATTTACACTACTAGCCACATTATAAAATCTGACAGTATTAAAATTTCCAAATTGTCAGAGGAACAGAATAAATTGGGACTCACACTTGGCTTTTATTGCTATTGCTGTAGCTGATTCATTGATGGTTTATTTCATGTTTCCAGACCTTTCTCATCTATGTTTTATAATATTTCAGTGTCGCCATTTACATTTATCTCTTCAGCTTTCTGTTTTTACCTTCCAGAACTCTAGAAGTCTTTCATTCTCCTGTGCATGTAGTATAGTGACATGATGAGAGGTATGGATTTTGGTTCCATTCAGATCTGGAGTCCCCTCCAGGGCCCGCTGCGGAAAAGCGGTCTGATCTTGGGCAGGTTCCCGAACCTCTCAGAGTAGAAGACCCCAGCTCTAAAATGGAAATTCCTAATACCTTCTTTTCTGGGCAGTTAGAAGATTATGACAGTGTAAAAACTGCCAATGTTGTATCTGACAAATTTTAGGGCCTCAGTAAACATTAGTAGCTGTATGTATCTAAAATCGCACCTGTTTAATTGCTGGCTTTTACTGAGATTTGATTGTTTTTTGATATGTTAGCTGATGACTTTTTGAGTTGAATTTTATGTATTTTGCTCATTTGAATCTTCCCAAATAGAATGCATAACTGGGAAGGATTTCCATTATAGAGGCACAGCCTGGGTTAGTGAATGGTGAATATATCTAGCGTGGCCAGTCCTTTAACCTTGCTGTACCAACTAGTCTCTTCATTTTTATCCTATTTTTGGTTTTACCAGCCCCACTGGGGTATATAGGAGAATGCTATAAGGTTAATATCTTGAAAGCACTACAGTTAGTGAGGTTAATTTGTAAATGAGAACTTCAAGGGTGGATGAAGTCCAAAAGGAACAGCTGAGTTTCTGCTGCCACACCACCACCGCCTGGAACAGTGTGGGCACACACTTCGTAGTCAGTTTTGCTGGACAACCCAGCGGTCTGTGCCAAGTGGCCTTAATTCAATTGTAAGGCAAAAGATGTTTTTTTTCCTGCCCTTTTGGTTTTGTTTCCCTCTCTCCCGCAGAAAGTAAAAACTGGAGTGTATCTTTAGTCTTGGAAAAGATACAAGCCCGTTTTTAATAGGGAATTTCTCTTTAAAATCAGTAATGATAAGAACCAGAGATGTATAAAAATACAAATGCTGAAAATATTTAAATGAGGAAATTTATTTGGAATTTCAGGATGAAGTGGAGTATGAAAGGAGTCCTAGCCTTTCATATCTCAGAGTCCTTTTTTTCTATCGTTTCATTTAATAGTTTGCTCATGGATTTCACTGTATGATATCCTTTTTTGAATCTTTCCTCTTTTTTTCTGAAAGAGTACTTTAAATCTTTTACTTCTATTTTAAGTTATGACTTTAAGTATAGTATTTGATTATTAAAATTAAAGAATTTATGATTTGAGTTTTTTGTTAGCTGTTTTGATGCTCAGTGACTTTTGAGGTTTAATAACGTGAGTGTAATCAAAGACTGGATAAATTTATATAATTGGAAACATATCATTTGGCTTTTATTCCCAATAATCCCTCTCCTCTTTTTAATTACTACTTTTATTAATATTACTTTTATGTAAATAATCTTGTGTCACTAAACATTCCAAAGTGCCTTTAAACTTCAAAAAGTATTAGTTATATGTGAAGATAAGTTTTGGCATAATTAGAAAATCCATACTTAGAAAAAACTTTAGTTTACCAGATGCTGCTGATATAGAAAGTAAATTTACTTTTCTTTTTTAACTATCACAAAATCCTATCAGATGATGTAAATATTTCCTCACGTAGGGTTACTAAACTGAATGGAACATAGAAAAGAAGTGAATTGGCTTTAATTTATACTTAATGTGAGCTTTTAGAATGCAGGAAGTATTTATGGTTTCATTTAATTTTAATCTGTAGCTAAAGATTTTCATAAGTAGGTTGTGTAATATAACTACTCTTATAATAATAAATGATGTTTTGTAGCAAGAAGAAATACCCATAAAACTAACTTCATTGGTAACCAGTGAATTGTGTAAGTGGTGATGTTTTGCTGTACTTAAAACAATTCCTTATCACCTTAGAACCAGCTTTTGGAAAAGCTTTTGATAAAAGAGGATTCAAAACTTTTGCCAGTAAGCTATATTAGAAGAAACCTTTTATAGACTCACTACAACAAGTGCTGGGGCTTCTGAATATATTGTATTGAAAAACTAAATCATTTAGATAACTTTTTAATGTGCAAAAATTGTAAGTAGGTCTATTTATAGGCTCCAAAGAAAATTTGGCAAATCTCAGGAAAGTATTGCAGATCTCCAGGAGCACATTGTCTCTCTCTCCATCATCCTCTCCCTCCCATTTTCTCTACTATTTATCTATCTATCTGTCTGTCTGTGTGTCTAAGTTCTTAAGTATCTTTTCCTTTTGGTGCTTAAGGAGAGCATTAGATCACTGGGTATTTTTGTTAAGAAAAAAGTAGATCAGCCCCCATTGAACAGGTACTTTTAATACTTCAGAATCAGTTCATTCAAACATTGTAACCACTTGATGTAATGCTTGGTGCTTTTCCAAACACTCTAATATTCATTATGTCATTTGATCCCTCCACTAACCCATCTTAAGTAGTTTGGGCAGACAGTATTCTTTTCATCTCGTGGTGAGGAAGCGGAAATCGGAAAGTTAAGTGACCTACCCTAGGTTAGCCAGTCACCCAGCCCAGCTTTCTGACAGCCGCTGACTCCGCCCCAACAGCTACTTCCTAATCACACAGTTCAAGAAGGTTTTAAATAGATAAAACTTTTTCAGACAATTTTACAGTGTATTTCTTGAATGTCATTATTTCATGTTGTCTTCTATGTTTGATGGAATAGTCTTACTTAATTTAAAGATGACGTACTTCTCTTGTAGGTGCCATTGTTATAGAGCGACCAAATGTGAAATGGAGTGATGTTGCTGGTCTCGAAGGAGCTAAAGAGGCACTTAAAGAGGCTGTGATATTGCCTATTAAATTCCCTCATCTTTTTACAGGTGAGATGACTGTTATATAGGTTTTCTGATGATTGTTTTATTTATTTTTATTTTTATTTTTTTAAAGATTTTATTTGTTTATTTGACAGAGAGAGAGATAGCGAGAGCAGGAACACAAGCAGGGGTAGTGGGAGAGGGAGAAGCAGGCCTCCCGCCGAACAGGAGCCTGATGCGGGGCTCGATCCCAGGACCCTGGGATCATGACCTGAGCCGAAGGCAGACGCTTAACGACTGAGCCACCCAGGCGCCCCTCTGATGATTGTTTTAAATTTAACATTGACGACTGAGGTAGAGCATTGTGAATTTTTGTCACCATATTATAAGTTAGCACCTTAATAAATTCTGTTATAAGGCAGTGATATACCTCTACACAAAGGTCTTTATTTCATACACATATTTGTAGTATACACATATTGCCAAAAACCTAAATGTCAACCACTAGGGCAAAGGGTAAATCACCAGCATGCAGCAGAATACTGTGCACTCGTTCAGTTAGAGGGTGCGTCTACATTAAGAAATTTAGATCTATGTTGTAATTGACATGAAAGAATGTCCACATATATATATAAAGATCAAAACACAAGCTATAAACATATGTAGTATGACTCTACATTTGTGAAATAAATGTGTGTGCTGAGAAGTAAATGTAGACAGACTGACAAAAATGCTAATGTTATACCTAGAAGATAAGATGATGGGTTTGAACTTTCATCCGAAGTTTTTACAGTGGCCACATACTAGTTTGATCAGAGTTTTTCCCGTTTCTTACAAAGCGGAGCAAGAATTATTTAACATTTTCAGACGAAGTACCTGTCCTCTGGGGACAGCTCGTTCTCACCATGAGGAGAATATTGCTAACACAACCATCTGGGTATAGTTGAAGTTCCAGCTCTAGCAGCAGCCGATTTGTCTGTGCTGAACCATTCCTTCCATAGTCCTTTTTGTAACTGATAGCCTGCCTGTGTGGTGATGTGGCTATACCCACAGCGTAACCATGAAACAGGCTGTCCCTTTTAGAAACAAGCTGCTTTAGGTAGAGAGCAAATTTGTGGTGTTGGCCTCAAACTGAACAGGTCCAGAAAGTGATGTCATATAGAGGACTGATGAGGAAAGACCCTGTGAGCCACTCAGGGTCCGCCAAGCAAGGTATGACTTAAAACCTAACTTCAGAAATATGAAATAACAGTGTAAAAGTTGATATCATGATCCTGTAAAGGCACAAAAGTATGGGTGAGCTCATTTTCTATTACTTATACCAGTGTTTTCCAAACACAAGTCATGTATGTATCTTCCTTATGATTATTTCCATATACGTGTACCATTATTTTAAATATTTAAATATTTGTAAATATTTTTAAATATTTTAAATATTTTTCTTTAAATCACTCACTTTTAGAGCATATTTTTATTAAAGTACAGCATAAATATACAGAGACCAGCAGGAACCTAAAAGTGTTCAGCTTCACAAATTATCAGAAAGTCAGTGCATCTACGTAATCATCATCACACAGATCAAGAAATGATACCAGAAACCCACAAGTCCCTCTGCCAGATCTTTCCTCTGCGAAGGTGATCACTCTCTTGACTCCCCCTAACACCATAGATCGTTTTGCCTGTATTTGAACTTATAAATCATCTTTCTTGTTTTTCTGTAGTAGCTTCATTTTAAAAGATTGCTTTGTTTCTACTCTAAATAGAAAAATTTGTATTTTTCTAATATACATTTTAAGAATGATTTAAATAAAAAGTATTTGTATACTACCTGAAAAGCACTTCCTATGCCACCAGTCATATATACCACACTTAAGGGAACACTGACTTATAATTGCAGACATTTAAAATAGGAAGATAGAACTCAAGTCAAAGTTGAGGCTTTCATAACAATAAATACAACAGTATTTAGTTCTGCCATTAGTAATCTACATGTCATTCTTATGTAGATACCATGTACCCATCCACAGTTTGAACCTAGAATTTTTTAAATGTATATTTGATATTTTTTTGCCAGATGTAACTCAATCTGTTTTATTTTAGGCAGTATTTTGATTTCTTATTAGGAAAATGGAAATACAAAGAGTTAATTTGTTCAGTTGTTATATTTTGGCAAAACTAGGATTTCAGGGAGTCTCCTCATCATTACCCAACCACCTGAATATGCTCTCTGTAATAGTAACCTGCGATTCCTTGTGGATCAGGAATTGAATAGAACTTTGTGAGGGATCAGTCAGACTGTGTTAGTTTCATTCCTCCAAAATATTTAAAAGACTAATATTCTTAATATTAATCATAAATATTTTATAAGAAATATAAATATTTAAAAGAAAATGTTTCCAGCTGCCCTTACCCTGTGGATCTAGTTTATCCTACAGTATTCTGATATTGAGTATTGCACACAGCAGACAATCAGGAAGTACCTTTTAACTGAACGATTCTGCCCTTACTAGACTATAAGCCCATGGAGGGCAGAGATCCTTTTGTATTCAAGGTTCTCAGTCTATACATTGTGGTTTTAGTACATAGTGGTTGAATGAATGAGTGAAGTAAATGAACTTCCTGTTAGAAGGATTATATCTATGTAAACATATTTGACAAAGTGTTCCCTAGAAAAAGCAAATAAGAGGGGCGCCTGGGTGACTCATTCGGTTAAGTGTCTGCCTTCGGCTCAGGTCATGATCCCAGGGTCCTGGGATTGAGTCCCACATCAAGCTCCTTGCTCAGTGGGAAGCCTGCTTCTCCCTCTCCCACTCCCCCTGCTTGTGTTCTCTCATTCTCTCTCTCTCTCTCTCTGTCAAATAAATAAAGTCTTTTAAAAAAAGAAAAGAAAAAAGAAAAAGCAAATGAGCTACTTCTGTTTTATTTATTTAAAAGTTTTTTTTTTATTCTGATAGCTGTAGAGTGAAAACCTCTTCACAGTATTCTTCAGTATGGATGATGTCTCTGGTAACAAATTAACAGTCTTGAGATTCTCATGTTATTTTTGTAATGCAAATTTTAGGCAAGAGAACACCTTGGAGGGGAATTCTGTTATTTGGGCCGCCTGGAACAGGAAAGTCCTATTTAGCCAAAGCTGTAGCAACAGAAGCAAACAACTCCACGTTTTTTTCAATATCTTCCTCTGACCTTGTCTCAAAGTGGCTAGGTGAAAGTGAAAAGTAAGTAGTAAGTTGATTTTTTTTTTTTTTTTTTTTAGTTTCTCTTTGCCTGGTAATCGTCATATCAGTCTATAAATTAATAGGCTTATATCATTCATAGGTATTCAGAGAAGTGACGTAAGTATTCATTTCTGTGTCAGATCAGTCCCTAGTTTGAAATTCATTTCATAGGGAAAAGATAGCATATGTACAGTTACATATAGTATAGTTTAGTAAATAATAAACTGAATCATCCAATTGTAGGATTCTTATTTTCTGGACCAAAACATGATTGGACTTTAGAGTTCTTATAATACTGTATATATTCTGTTTTAGTGTTTTTTATTAAGTCATGTGTCATTTACTATTTTTTTAAAAAACTGAAAGCTTTTACTTATTTTTAGGCTAGTTAAGAACTTATTCCAACTTGCTAGAGAGAATAAACCTTCCATTATCTTCATTGATGAAATTGATTCTCTGTGCGGCTCAAGGAGTGAAAATGAAAGCGAGGCTGCCCGTAGAATTAAGACGGAGTTCCTAGTTCAAATGCAAGGTAGGGGTACTGACTTCTAAAATAGTTTCTATTTATTTTATAACTGCTATTATCATAATAATGGAAAAAATTCAAGCCGAATTTCTCCATTTTAGCAGACTAAGTGTTCTCACTGTGCCATGTTTCATTCTGATTGTCCTACACATGCACACAAAGTCTGCACCCCATTGTAATCATCTGTAGGATTCTGGCATAAACAATAAGGAGATGCGCATATTCACTTATAACCTACCAGGAACACTATCAGTGAAAGAATGTGTAGACTTCAAATGAAATCTTTTGAGAAGAATATGAATAGTATTTGTCCATAGTCTAGCAAATTTGATTCTTGGAAATATTTGCATCATATTTGAATAATGTGATATTTGATTAAATACAGTTTTTTCAGAGGGAGACTCTCAAGATGAGGCACTTTAACATTAAAACACCACATTCTTAACAGAACATATAGATGAGGTTGAAAGAACACTAAAATGACAAATTACTTAAAATATTACGTATTTTGATGCAGGCGTTGGTATAGACAATGATGGAATTTTGGTTCTGGGAGCTACAAATATACCCTGGGTTCTGGATTCTGCCATTAGAAGAAGGTATGATAATACAATGAAGATCTTAATTCTCACTGCAGATGTAACAAGTCAGTGACAGTTCCCTTTTTTGTTCATTGAAGAGGCATTCTGACAACTTTTCAGAATTTTTTTGATGTACTCTAACCCTGTTGCCCCCTGCGTTGGGGGAAGAGAGGCAGGCATTTGTTTGCTTACTTGCTTGCTATATTGAAGATAGGAGATTTTCATATACAGAATCTTTCACATTGGAAAATATATTACCTAATGCTTTTAATTCTAATTAAGCTTAGTGTAAGGCACTGATGCTTCAGAAATGTACAAATGTAGCTTGGTATTTCAATGGGAAACTTTCACATAAAATTTTAGCAAAATAACAATCATATAAGTTAAGTATGATAGACAACCAAGATATATTTTCATTAAAACTTTATGTCTATAATTTTTAAATTACATGTTGAACTTGAGCTCCAGGAAAGGTATACGGACTCGTTACTTTTCATGCATACCATTCCCTATTTCATTCATTGAATTTTGCATGGTAAAAATTAGCACCAGTTCTTGCCACTTTTATCCCATTCACTTGATGGTTTGCCGGGATGCTAGGTTACCATCCAGTATTAAGAAAGGAGATCTGCTGGTTATTTTTGAAAAATGGCCTAATTCTAAACCCATCTCTAGAAATAATGGAAATTTAAAATTCTCATAGCCACACAGAGTTACCTAAAGAACTAAAAGTCTCCACAGCCACTTAAATTTTCCCTCGTTGCTTCCTCCCTACCCAAATGCTGAAATTCTGAGAAGGCAAGCAAAGTTATTGTTAATAAAACAGTGTTTACTTATGAACTACTAGAATTATTTATCCTGAATGTACGCTTTATAATAAAGTGGACATTTTGTGTAGACATAGGTTTATTAGATAAGATTTTGAGTAGCTTTACCGTTTTGAATTTAGAGAATTATTTTGCCCTCTCTTATTTCATATGATTAACCATATTAATCCCTAGATTCAGCAGTTCAGAGTATAATTCTATGAGAAGCTAATCTTGTGGGACATATCGTGTTGTGAATTCTAGACATTATAAACACTATGGCCAAAGTAACCCAAAAATCATGTGAGAAAGATTAAATTACTCCAAACTGGTTCTCTGGCTATTTTGGTTTTACTTGTTAGTGCTAATGTGTTCTGGATATTTTCCCATTATTTAATGTAAATATGTATGTTTAACTCTGACACAATGGGCCCATTTAACTTATTCAGCTTAGCTTTATGTAAATGAGAATATCTGAGCATCTCGTTTCTTGAGAAATCTGAATTTTCAATTGAAATTAAATATATGTAGTAATATTTTTGATGTAAATTTCTTTCATTTTAAGATTTGAGAAACGAATTTATATTCCTTTGCCTGAGGCCCATGCCCGAGCAGCGATGTTTAAACTGCACTTGGGGACCACTCAGAACAGTCTCACAGAAACAGACTTCCGAGAACTTGGGAAGAAAACAGACGGTTATTCGGGGGCAGACATAAGTGTCATTGTGCGTGATGCGCTTATGCAGCCTGTTAGAAAAGTGCAGTCAGCTACTCATTTTAAAAAGGTAAGGAGCTTTGTTCCATCCTTTCAGATACTTTTAAAGTCAAGTTTTGAGACCATCATTGATTTGTCTTCAAAGAATTTCAGGAAGGTTTCTGTTTTATATAATAAATAATGGGTTTATAGAATAAACATTGCCATTTCTTTGAAAATAAGTTCTCCCACAAAGTTTATTAATAGCTATTATTAATAGTCTTAATGTATTTTAAAATTTTTTATGCAGTGATTTTTGAAGTACTTATTATTTTGGTCTAAGTATAGAAACTTTAAATGTATAGTTACTGCTGATGTAACTAGAATATCCTCGAGCCGAATCTGGTGCATTTACACCTCGTTAACAAAGTAAAAATACCAATAGCTAATATTTAAATATTCACTGTGTTCTATTCTATATCTCACTATTTCATTCGTTCCTCACAAAAATTCTACAAGAGGTGCCTGTTGCCGCCTGTTCATCATTAATCTGAGACTCAGATGTTAACAGGATTAAACTGGGACTTAGCTGCTAACACGGTTTGTCAAGGTACAACCAGAGAGGTACAGACACGTGATTTTTCTCTAGGTCACACGTACTTCAGAATCGGAGTCCCCGCTTCCCGTGCACTGTTTTGTCTGCATGAATGGGTTGAGCATATAGCATTTTGTAAAAAGACTGTGGTCCTGGGATGTCCAAGATATTTAAGTAATGGTGGAGTAGGTAATTTGTACCAACCCTGTTGCTAAGGACAGCAATACCCAATATTACCATAAACATCGACGTGAAAATCCTGAAAAACGATTAGCAAACTTAATCCAGCAATATGACAAGACTGATATATCATGACTAAGTTACATGCATATGTCTTGCCCCACACTGAAATAAGTTTTAAAAAAAATGACCTTGAATTAAAACCTGAATTTAAAGCCTGACTCCACAATTTATTTGTTATATCTCCTTGAGCAAATTATATTACCCATTTAAGTCTTGTGTTTATCATCTCTACAGTAGAGACAATAGCACTGCCTCAAAGTACAACTGTGAGAAAGAAATGAAGTAGTTCTCATAAAGCACTTGAGTAGCCTGGGGCGGGGTGGGAATAGCCCTTTCCTTCTGCAGCCACTTCTTTACTGAGGGAAATATAGGAGGCTCAGGGTCAAGTTTATGTCCCAGCCATTGTATTTTCTTTTAAATTCTCTTTGCATTTAGAAGCTATTGATTGTTAGGAACTCAGTCCTTTCCTACCCAGAACTTTTCATTCTATTCTCCATGTGACTGCCAGGGACAGCTTCTGTGTCCCTGAAGCTGGGTCCTTCTTAGGAGGATAAGGTGAGGCAGCCAAATGAATGTTAACATCTGGCCTCCTGCATCACCATCTAGTAGATATCTCAGTGGCTCCATCTTTTACTCCCATTCTTAAGGCTGATTATTTCGATTAGCAAAAACAAGATTGCCTGTTTGTTTATTTATCAAATATCTAAAGTACTACTCTGAGCGTAGAGTTAAGTCAGAAAGTACTACAATCAAACACAAAAATCCCTGCAGCTGAAATTTTTGTGGGGAAAGACAATAAAATACACATAATGAGTAAAGCTAGAATGTTTATTTTTCTGCACCTGCCCTAATCCTGATGTAATATTTAAGATTGATCATTGTCAAATATTAAATGTGAAAGCAGCCCCCAATTTAGCATAGATCTGTTGCCACCTATAAAATACTTGCATGTGCTCGGGCTCCCCGCCCACAGACCCCTGCAGGCGGCTTCGTGCTGCCCGGAGGCTGGGGGCGCGCGTGACTCTCGCCCCCCGTGTGAGGGGTGTGCCTCCCGCAGCCCAGGGCTTGGAAGGGGGACGCCCGGGGCTCGGGGCCACTGCCCTCGCTTTCTTGTTGTCGCAGACGCCCTCCTGGGGGGGCGGTCCCACGACCGGCGCAATGAGTGCCAGCGAGGACCAAGAGATGGAACTGGAAGCTCTACATTCTATTTATGAAGGAGATGAAAGCTTCCAGGAATTAAGTCCAGTGTCATTTCAATACAGGATAGGTGAAAATGGTGATCCCAAAGCCTTCTTAATAGAGATTTCCTGGACAGAAACATATCCCCAAACACCTCCAATTATATCTATGAACTCTTTTTTTAACAACACGATATCATCGGCTGTAAAGCAGAGCATATTAGCCAAGTTACAGGAAGAAGTGGAGATCAATCTAGGGACCGCCATGACCTACACATTGTTTGAATATGCCAAGGACAATAAGGAGCACTTCATGGAGAATCACCAGCCCGTGAATTCTGTGATACCCATAAGCAGTTATCATCTCCATTGAAACCCCTAATACAGCCCCACGGATTAAAAAAAAAGGAAAAAAAAGAACAGCTTTCAAAAACCCAGAAACGTAAGCCGGTCGATAAAACAGATCACAAAGGAGAACTGCCTCGCGGATGGAACTGGGTTGATGTGGTGAAGCATTTAAGCAAAACTGGCTCTAAAGATGATGAATAGTACTTGGAATTGAAGACAAGGGAAGAACATCCTTTAAGAAGTAAACTGGGTTCAAAATTCTTCATTACTCTTTTCTGGTATTGAGGTGGCTTTTTATAAAACAATTTTTTTTATATGTTTCTTATGTAAAAAACATTTTAAGCTGAAAGTTCATGAAGAGATCTGGTTGTATTATTTTCACAAACTTGCCTTAATAAAAGGTGAAATGTTTAAAAAAAAATACTTGCATGTGACTCTAAGTCACAAAGTTTTGTCTCTGGGTGTTATTAAAATTTTATTTTAAATCAGTTATGAATCTCAAAATAGCACTGAAATTACACTTAGCATTTAATTTTGTACTTATTTTTAAAGAAGGAATTTTTGTTGCAAAAGAAAGATTCAGTGATTTCACACTTATAAATCTTCCAAATATCACAGAACTTTCTCAGTTTTGGAAAATAGAGAAAACTTAAGAGACTTATTGAGGATGCCTTTTTTGTGGACTCTAAGACCATTTAATAGGCATTAGAGAAAAGAGAACTCTTAACCACAGATGTTTCTTTTTTTTTAATTTTAATTCCTTTTCTCCTTTGATCATGTAAGTAATGTAGGAAATTTCAAAATACAGGAAAGCAACAGGAAAAAAATCAAAACCAAACAAAATCTATCCTGGCACCCAAAGATAACTACATTTTGTTGTATATTCATGTTTATTTTTAGAAGTAAACATTTTAACAAAATACAGAATAGTACATTTTCAAATGTCTTGATAATTGCCTAAATCTTAACTTAGTTAATTTGTTCAAGTAAATATTTCAGATTACTTTTTATTCCAGGTGCGAGGACCTTCACGAGATGATCCCAACAAAATAATAGATGACCTGCTAACACCCTGTTCTCCCGGTGACCCTGGTGCCATTGAAATGACATGGATGGAGGTTCCTGGGGATAAACTTTTGGAGCCAGTTGTTTGCATGGTTTGACATTTTAAAAAATTTAAAACATGGTTTGTCATTTGTGAGACAAAGATAAACATTTTCAGTTACATAAGATTAGCTAGAAAATATCAGTGTGATCAAGCATGTTTATGTAATACTACTCAAAAAGTTGTAAAGTTAATTGAACTTAAAAATACAAAAAATAATTATCTTTGAAATAGTTTCTTGGGCTTTAAGAAAAATTTTAAGTGAAAAAGCTCTTTTTCAAAAAACAGGTTTCTAAGTTTATATAGGTCTTATGGCTGGGATACTATCAACAGAATACTTATTTATATGGCATAAATTATTGTCAAGACTTAACTAAAAAGTAGAACTGGTGAAATTTCTTTTCTGAATCTAAGATTTTGTAAAATATCCAGAAACCTTAATGCATCTATCATAGTAATCATAATGGTGTTTTTCTGTTTTACTTCTTCAAGCTTTGTAGAAAGTTTAATGTAGTGCTTGAAAGAAAAAGTCCTGAAACCAAATTTTTATGATAAAAAAAATCACATTTCTATAGTTTATATTGGAGGGATTTATAATTCTTAAGACTTATTTTGTAAGGTACAGGAAGCTTACTGTGAAAAGCTACATTTATTATTTTTATGTTTTCTTATTGGAACATGCTGAGTTTTTTAAATCTTCTGCTTCAGTTACAGATTTTCAAAGAGCTTTATGTCAGAATTAACAGTAACTTCCAGAGGAGAAACTTATTTATGTGATATGTACACATAGATCTATAGACATACACGTACCTCTATAAGTACATAGTATGTATATAGATATATTTATGTGTTAATTATGCTTCTCTGAGAAGTTACTCAGAAACCCTTTTTTGTTTCAGCCCTTGCTATGTTATTTTTTTTAAGATTTACTTATTTATTTTAAAGAGAAGAGTGAGTGCGGGTAGGGGTTGGGGGAAAGGAGAGAGAGAATCTCAAGCAGACTCCCTGCTGAATGTGGAACCCATCACGGTGGAGATCCCTGAGATCATGGCCTGAGCCAGACGCTCAACCAACTGAGCCACTCAGGTGCCCCACTTAGGTTATTTTTTATAAAGATTTTGTTCTTTGACCATTTTTCATACTGTTTTATAAGAGACATAGCCCAGAAGTTAATCTTTTAATGAATCCCTGGTGTTAGCCTATTTTCTTCCCATTTTGATCATAATTTTAATTAATAGTTAAAAATTCCAGGGGCGCCTGGGTGTCTTGGTCGGTTACATGTCTGCCTTTGGCTCAGGGCCTGATCTTGGGCTCTCTGCTTCCCCCCCTCCCTCTACCTTCCCTCCCACCAGTACTCTCTCGTCCCTCTCTTTCTCTCAAATAAATAAAATCTTTTTTAAAAAATTCTGATTATAGTTGGTTTTAATTAAATGGTGTTGTGTTTCACATAAGTATAAGTGAATAACTTCGATAAGTGAATGACTAAATTCCTTTTGGACTGCACTTGGTGAACTCTCTTGTTTTAAGAAAAAAACAGATAAGACCAGAAAAGAGATCAGGGACATATTTTGGAAGGCCTTGATCTTCAAGCTAAAAGGATTATACTCCTGATAGCTAATGGGAGCCATTGAAAGTTGTGGTCAGGACAAGGCAAGCAGCTTAAAGTTACTGTGCAAAGGAAGAACAGGATCAAAGACATCCTTTGGAAAGAATAAGAGAGTTTATTGTTAGTAACTTATGGTACACTGCAAATACTTAGATTTAACCTCAGGTGGGAAGTTAGTTAATAATAAATACAGTGATTTTTATTTGATTAAATCTATTACTAATACTCCTCCTTTCTTTTTCCCTGACAGTCGGATATGTTACGGTCACTATCTAACACAAAACCCACAGTCAACGAACATGACTTGTTGAAATTAAAGAAGTTTACAGAAGATTTTGGCCAAGAAGGCTAAACCAAAGACAACGAGGAAGACATTTACCATGTGTGTTCTTTATTTCGTAGGTCCTTTTGCCTTTCTTGGATGGCATTCAGATTATTTCCAGTAAAACTCTTTTACCACAGGGAAATACAGATCTCACTCCAGAGTTCCTTTAATTTTATATGTATTTTTGTTCCATTACCAGTTAAATGCTCCTGTTAACAAAAATTATAAAATAATGGATAATAAGGAAATGAGTGATCTATGAATGGCAAAAAATAGGAATTACCCAGTTAGGAAGAGGATGAACATTGATTGAGATACCAATATTTAGAATTGGTGGTATTTGCAAAGAGCATTTCTTTTTTTCTTTTTCTTTTTTTTTCTTTTTTACCAAAATGAAATAGGGCTTATTTTATATTTTGAAAAACAATTCTTAAGCATAATTCTCATCAATGTAAAATTTATTTACTTTATTAAAAAATTTTAAATAATAGGATATTCTCAGGGATGGGCAATAAAACAGCAAAGAGCACTGTGATTGGGCTTGAAAGATTCTGAATTGTGTTCTAGCCAAGTCTCATTGATTTTTGATAGGCTAACATTTTTCTTTGTGTAGATTTCAATAATTTCTTTAAAAGCAACAAACTTCTATATTTAATTAAATAATACCTTTCACTGTGCAGTCTCAAAAGAAAGACTTTCTAAATTGGTATTGTCTTCATCTTGAAGAAGAAAATTGTCTATTTCAGTATCTTTTTGTAGGAAGATTGACCAAAACAGATGGCAAATAAATACATACTTTTTAAATAATTCTGTCATGAAATACTATAATGGGAACTTTTGCTAAAAGGAATGGCCTCCCTTTGAATTATGGGAAGTTTCTTGTGGGGGTGTGTGTGTACATATATATATATATATAATTTTTTTTTTTTTTTTTTTTTAATATAGGCTACCAAGGGTCTTGTCTTTTACCTTTTAAGTCCAGGGAACAGTTTGTCTTTGCCACACATATGTTATCAAGTGTAACGCTTGTGAAGCTTTAGAAATGAGCTAATGTCTCCTTAAATAATAAAATACAAACATGATTATGTTATTTTAATATCTCCAAATAAATCTGAAGGTGTATGTTACACACTTTAGCATCAACACTAAGTTGTGCCTTGTGCATTTGCATTGGTTATATATGCAAAAGGATGATTAAGTTAGCTGGAATGAGGTTGGTTCCTTAATTACTATAAAGTTCTACCTTGCAAATACTATAGAATAACTTGCATTTTAAAGTATATTTGCACATTTTATGTATAATGCTCTATCGTTGCCTTTGGATTTTCTGTACAGATTGTTTTTGTTGATACTAAATGGAAATCATAGGCCTGAAATACGCTGTTCTTATGTGAAGTAAATTGATATAACCTACTATTGGCTATATTCTGTGTATGCTTCTTTATTTTGGGATCTGTATAGGAGAAAATATTATCTAAATTGATTAGATACAAAGATACCATTAGAAATTATTGAGAATGTACACATGAAAATTCTGTTCTTCAACTTTAATGTGAGGGTTGGGAGTTAAGTTGGCAGACTAACAGTTCTTTGTGGCTGCCTTATAAAATAATTTATATTCTTTATCAGCCTCAGAATTATATAGTATTGCTATTAATTATATCACTAGGAGACTTCACATAATTATATAATAGTTGAAATTCAGAATTTTTTGTAAATCCAGAATTTATTTTGAGGAGGTATTTTACTTAATTTGACAAAATACATGACCCAATAGTAAGTATAGTGTTGATGATAAATGGGTACTTTCTCACACTTAATTCTTGAGTGTGCTTAGAGAAGCGTAGCTCAGTATCCTTATCACTTCCAGCCATGGCTCCATTTTCTATATAACATCTACATTTTTTACATTTCTGGTTCTAAACCTATTTCTGGAATCAAACAATTTTAGACTTACTCTGAAATGGTAGCACATAGACCATATCCCATGAGTTCTTTAGGGACAGATAAGTACTCACAATGTTCAGGCTCTGTCTGAACTTGGACTGTTACAAAATTTGGGGTAGATGGTTTCGGAGGCTACTTGGAGTACCTCTATGAGCTGTACCCTAGATGTTGAAGAACACTTTTTTTCCCTCAGCCTGGAAACGATAGGAGTCTTAAGAATTTCAATAGAAAATTAACTTTTGAGTTTCCTCATAACATGCAGAAAAACAATATATATATTTGATTATTAACGTGAAGTACCATTCAGCCACTTTCCACTGGCATAGGTTAGAAATTGAGGCACGCCTCTGTAACGTAGCTGTAGATGTTGCTTGATGCTGTTGCAAATGGAACAACAGCAAGTACCCAGCATGGACACTGCTTTTACCTCCCCTTTGTGAGCTCTCATAGATGTCATGTGCTTTCCTGCCTCCGTACCTTCCTTTACCACCTTCTGTTACTGTACTACAATGTCCTTTCTTCTCTGCTGGTCCAAATCCCATTATTTCCATTAAGACCTAGCTCATGGCCTGTATCATCTCTGCCAGGAAGAATTCCTAAACTACCCCCAGTCCTACCTTTGGCTTCCTAGATATCTGTGAAGCTTTTTATAAAATAGATCATTTGAAGTGACTTTGCTCTTACTGCTCCAGTGAAATGATCAATTTCAGTCTTGGTTACTGGGGACTAAAATCAGAGGTAGGCCAGGACTGGCTCCTATTGGCTTAGGAGAGCCAGTGCCCATCTCTTCCTACCTGTGAGTTCCGTGAGCTTGTTTTGGCAGCTTGAAATCTGCTACGGTGGGAGGATTCGTGCCACAGAAATCAAATTGCAGTTAGCATGGTGCCACACAAAACCGAGTCTGTCTGTAATTGAAAAATTAATATTATTTATTGCATTTACAGAAATAAAGTATACAGAAGTTACATTTTTAGAGTCATAAAAAGCATTTGATAAAATCCAGTACCTATTTATGATTTTTTTAAAAAAACTTTACAAACTAGGAAAAGAAGGGAGCTTCTTAATATAGGGCATCTGCAAAAAAAAAAAAGGAAAAGCTGCACTATAGCAAGCATCATACTTAATTGTGAATTATGGAAAACTACTCCCCGGCTATCACCACTTTTCAACTTTGGACAGGAAATTCTAAGTTTAGGGATTAAAAAGGAAGAAACAAAATTGTTATTCTCAGATAACATTGTATATGTAGCAAATCCAAATTAATATAAACAACTTTGAATTTATTAAGATTACAGGACGCAAAGTTAATAAAATCATGGTGGTTATCTGAGCAACAATTAGGAATTGAAATTATGAAAACAATACCAATTATAATAGTATCAGAAAGCATCAGATACCTCAGAATAAGTCTGAAAGATACACAGACCTTCACATAAAAAACTAGGATACACTACAAAGAAAAACTTGAGTAAGTAGATGTTCATGAGTCAGAAGACTTAGCAAAGTATCCATTCTGAGTTGATTCTAGACTTAATGTAATCTCAAATCTGGATCTGGGTGATATGTAGGTCACTCTGTACATCTATGTATGTATTCTATATCTCCAAAAACAAAAATAGATGCTTAATTTATTGATTAAAAAAATGTATTTTATAGTTTGAATCCATTTTTATAATAGTATATTTCTCCTAGCTGTATGTTTTTTGTCCATTTATATAATCACTCACCCAGATACCTGTACATACACGTAGAAACATAAATTATTTTCACCTTATGTTCATTTTGTTATTTGTGGGTAGTGAGATTTTGGTTGATTTTTTTTTTTTTTAATTTTCTCTACCTCTTTTATCTTCAGGTATATTTTCAGATGTCACCTTTTCAGTGAGACATTCCCTGGTCATCCTATTTACAATTGCAATCCCTCCTGATGCTCCTCATACCCATTCCCTGCTTTCTTTTCTTCTGTAGCACTTACCATGTAACCTGCTATATAGTTTACTATTTTTCTTATTTGTAATTTTTCTTACTAACATGTATGTTCTGTGAGAACTGGGATTTTCTTTGCTGGTTTTTTTTTTTTTTTCTCTCTCTCTTTCTGCTGTATGGCAGTATCTGGAACAGTGCCTGGTGCCTGATGGTGCTCCATAAATATCTATTGAGTGAATGAATCTTTGTATGTTTTTCTCAGTTTGAATACTTTACAATAAGCATATATTATTTTTGCCCCTCTCCCACGCTTTTACTTTAAAAAAAAAGAAAATTAGGAATGAAAACAAATACATCAAGAAATTAACAGTGGCTAAATCTGGGTGGTAGCAGTATGGAAGCTTGTTAATTTTTCCTTTGTTTTCATCTTTAAATATTTTAATTTCCCAAAATAAGCAAAAGTTTTTAGGGAAGAATTACAGTTGGGCTGAGAGCTGATCACAGGAATTTGTCTCCTTCTTTGGAGCCCTATAAAAATAACAGCTTTTAAGAAGAGAGTGAAAAAATAGGACAGCATAGATAATTCTTCAAACAAATGGACTTTGGAAGAGTGCTATTCATCCAAACTGCCTTCCTGATTTGGGGAATGCCCCTGGCCTCCCGCTACAGAACCGAAGTGGGGACATCCTGTTTTTCTTCAGCACGAGGCAGCCATCACAGGGGCACCTGACTAGCCATGGTTAATCAGGTGCTGCCATCCAGGTCCCACTATCTTGAGTGCCACAAAGATGTCAGGACATTAAAAACAGGGTCATAGCAGCATCAATAGCATCTGACCCGATGGGAATCTGGTAGCTTGTGGCGAGACAGCTAATTACATTATGGTCTGTGATCCCATGGAATGAAGTGCCCAGCGAGGACAAGACATTGGGGAACTGCTTCGTAGCTGCTGTAGAACAAAATGAAGGCATGAGAACTTCAAGGACTGCTAGTTGAGGTCAGGGCAGGGAGAGAAACCCAGGGATCTTCTATGACTATAAACATTTCTTGCATTCACAGTACTAAAATAGTCTAGTGAAACTAAATACTTGATTGTGCAGTTGCCAAGTGATAATCAGTTGAATTTAGATTCAGTTTTGTGGGGGTTTTTTTGGGTTTTTTTGCTGTGAAGGTAAGGAAATTTGGGAGGCAAAGAGCAGGGTGCATAGTATTAGGATGTGTATATTTATGAGGATTTGAAGGATTCTGAGTCTCAGGACATAACCTGGAGCACTGTGGGTGGAAATGGAGTATTCTGATGATCAGTCAAGAAAAGGAGAACCTAGTTTCAGAAATGATCAAATCTTATTGATGTGGGTTCAGTCAACAGAGACTCTGAATTTAGTATTTTGGTTTGAGCTGCTGGGAGTGGTTTTAATTGTTTGGCTGGTTGAAGAAGTAATTTGACAATCGACCCACTTGGAACTCCATTAATATATAATGTAAAAGGAAGAACCCAATATCTTTAGGAAATAGAAATGCTGGCGTGGATTCACCTTGTAAGAACCTTCACAAGGCTTCACTGTTCCCAGAGAAGATCCATAACCCAGTCCCTTAACCGAGCCTTTGATAGGTGAAAGAAATGCATTCCCAGTTATTTTACTGGCTCTTTGAAAGATTGGAGCTGGAAAGATCCTTTGGTTGCAGAAGCCAAGTAATGTCAATTAACCAGTACAAGCCGAGTGGACTTGGTCAGCACATGAGGTAATAGAGCTGGCATGACAGAATGATCTTCCCCTCAGATCATAAGCAATAATTCAGTGATGCTGGGGTCCTCGGGACCAAGGTAAATGAAGTAAATGCTACTTCATTAGTATAACCAAAAAACTCCCAAGTCTGGCCTCC